GATGTAATACAATCCTTTGTAATATCTTATACACAAAAAAAAAAAAAAAAAAAAAAAAAAAAAGGTCCTCTAATTCGATCTCCTTTTTAGTTGGTTTGATCCAAGGGCTGCACGAGTTTGATCTTGAATTACCGTCGATTTTGGATGAAGAACGGCATGATTTGATGTGCTTGGTGTTCTTCACTTTTGGGCAGAGTCTGAATTTTTGTGTCTGAATTTCCAAACTCTTCTCCGAATTTGTGGACTTTTGAGTTTGAATTTGTCTCTTCTGGATTTCTAAATCCCTGGATTTCTGAACTCTAAATTCTGAATTTGTGTCCCCTTTTCTCCTCCAAGCCTCTATTTATAGGCTTCTTAGATTAATAGGATGATAACACGTGTCCTCTCCTGATAAGAAAAAAAATCATAACTGGGTCGGGCCGGTTATATTATGATAATTATCTTTAAAAATAATTATTCCAAATATATTTATTAGGAATAATTATATTTTCATATAATCATCTGGGCTGGGCTAATTAAATAATTTAAGTGGACCAAGATTGAGCCAATTAAATAACTTAATTAAACATTAGGCCCATATTTAATAGGTTCATTTGTCAAAACCAAAGCCCACTAAACTTTTAGTGTCTACAGGGATTATAGATTTCTCTATTGTTTAGCTCGTCTAATTTACAGTCATCTTCATCCCATTCACTTTTTTCTTTATCAATTTTTTTCTCCTCCTTCCATTCTAAATGAAATAAAAGGAGGATCATTATCAACAACATCCCAAATACAATAATCTAACACCTTAAGGTAAATCATCATTCTAGATTTTCAGGCATTATAATGGTTTCCATCAAACCGTGGAGGTTTGTGGGAGGATTGACCTTCCATGTGGGCTAATCTACTGGTTATTGTTGAGAGTTTTTGTGTAAGAGCTCAAGTGTAGGTTTTCGGTTTTCTATTTCTCGTAAGTTAAGAAATGTTAGGTATCCTCTATTCAGGGACGGATCTAGGAATTCATACGAGGGAAGGCAAATTTATATAGAGGAGTTTTTTCACAATTTCAACGGGGATAATTTCAAAATTTTATGGATATAAATATAAAAAGTATAAATTTAAGGGTGTAAAATATAATAATAAAAAATTTCAGTGGGGGCGGATGCCCCCACTGAGCACTTCATAGATCTGTGCTTGCCTATATTTATAGAGGCAGAGGGAAAAGTATCCATCCCAGATCATGAAGGACTGCTTAGTTCTGAAATTAGATAACCATGAGAGGTCATAAAGACGTCTACTTTTTTGAGTACCAGAAGGTATTCTCAAATTCAAATGATGAGGAGCACGTATAAGACGGACAAGGATCACCTCCAGTTACACAGTAGTCCATTTCCTTCATTTTTGTAAGTAAAAATACATCCCAACATTTTCGTAAGGTGCATCCCAACATTTTCCTACAGTGCATCCCAATATTTTCCTACTATGCATCCCAAACATGAGTGACATGGCCATTTTTGAATCACTCATTTCAAAATGGAGTAAATGGCACACTATTTAACTGGAAGTGATTTTCACCCCGTATAAGGCGTCTTGTATTAACTAAATATGTGTCTTGTTTTTGACACTGCCTTTCGTTACCTAGAGTTTAGAATCAAAGTGGGATAAGAATTTCAGTACAAGAATTCTAGCTCTCACCCACTTTATCTACCCATGAACATGATCTTCATTTTTCATGCCCTTCGTTGAGCCTCTGATCAAGTCTTGAGCTCTGATATTGAAATGGCTTTGAGTTCCTTGACTTTGTTGCAATCAGTCAACATAAGGGGTGGAGCCAGGAATTCTTTTCAGGGAGTCGCCGTATTAAAGTGGATAAATTATATTTTTTTTTCATACGAATACTGATGCAAGACAATAAGCAGAAAAATAAAACTGTAATCATGGAGGAGGAGGATGAGGAGTAAGAATGAAAAGAAAGGAAAAATTAAAGATATTTTTTAAAAAATAACTACCATTCACCTTTGGATAGCATTGCGTTTAATGTGTACTTTAAATACTATAATCCAAAAAGACGAACCCAAAGAAATGAAATAAGAATGAACACTGGTTGACCATCAAGCGGGATATTCTGTAGGTGGCTGCCTCAGTCTTGGTTCCGTTCTGCCCCTCTGACGGATGGATGGCTAGACTCTGCATGATCTTCTCGCGGTAGATTGGCTCTTGGCCCGTTTGGCCCTTGTTTGGAGATCTGCATTCTTCTGGTGAAGAGTAGTTTCAATTTGTTGCTGGAGCTCTTCTCGCATCTTCCTAGCTCATGACTCCTTTTTGTCACTGTGATGGTTCGGCTCCAATCATGTTTTTGGAAGGGAGTTGCATAAACTAGGAATTGGGAAACAAACGATTCCCACAGCACTGAAGTGTTTGTGCAAAAAATTATGATCGATAAATTCACACAAATACCCAAAGATGAACAAGGGAATTATATTTATTGCATGGGGTCACATACAAGGATAATTAATGTAGCAATGAGCTTTTCTCCTTAATACCCTCTCTCCGGTTTCGTTCCCGATTTATTATAGAGAAATTGACCTTATCTTTGTCTTTCTTTTTGTTTTTTGAACTTCTGAGGCAATTTGAACCTCCATGCCACGTGTTGCCTAATGGCTTTGATATGTGGTTTGTTTCTATTGGTTGCAAGCTTATACAAGTGTCCACTCGTGGTTCAGATTTTTGGCTCCACAATAGATCAATGGAGCTCTCGGTTCAGACTTGGATAGCTCATTTGCTGTATCACCTCTTACTTCATTTTCTAAATCTTTGAGGAGTCTTTTTGCTGCTTCTTTGTGGGGTTTGTGGAAGGAGAGGAATGCTACTAGGTTACATCGGTCTTCTCTGCAATCTCATGCTACTGTGGCTAGACAAATTCTGTTTTAAGTGTTGGATGTCCATAATGCCTCGGTTCAACTCTGCTGCTACCATTGCGTTTCCTTTGTTTGCTTTGTACCGAAAGTGAAGGGTCTCATTTTCTTACATTTGGCATATACTGACCAATTAAAAACATTAGGTTACGGAATTCTACCCAACTCATCCACTTTAAAATCATTTTTCTTAACTAAAACATTTCAATCACAACACTCCGAAGAGTGCTTCATACAAATTTTTCCTTCCTTTCTCTTCTTTTCTTTCTTTCTTTCTATGTATAGACTCACGGCAGATCTCTTGTTCTTTTTCTATTTCTTTGTTTTCTCTATTTTCTTCATTTTCTTCTGATCCGTTCTATCCTTACATTCTTAAATAATTTTGATGAACCAAAAATTGGAAAGCATACATACATCTCTCGAAAAGGTTAAGTAGCAATCTCCTAAAGACGGATGACCGTAGGCCAAATAAATTGATGGTTGACATAAGGTTCAACGACTTGGATTTATAACATCATGAAGAAGCCTTGAGGACTCTGCTAATCAACAAATCAGTTGAAAATCACCTTCAGTGAAATAGTGTGTCATTTATTCCATTTTGAAATGAGTGGTCCAGAAATGACCATGTCACTCATGTTTGGGATGCATAGTAAGAAAATATTGGGATGCACAGTAGAAAAATGTTAGGATGCACCTTACGAAAATGTTGGGATGTACTTTTACTTACAAAAATGGAGAAAATGGACTACTATGCAACTGGAGGTGATCCTTGTCCTCAACAAATCATCTCTAATCGCTTAACTAAAAAAATTGAGGGAATAATAATCCGCCCTTTAGCGACCCAGCTTCCACCATCTTATCCAGATGGTGAGTCACAATGCAGCAGATTCTAAGGGTTGAAAGTAGGGGTGGCAATATTTGACACGGCACACTAACACGACACAAGATAAGCGGGTTTGGGTTTGAGCTAATCGTGTTCGTATCATAATCGTGTCGACACAAATTGACCCGCTAACTAAACGTGTCATGTTCGTTTTTGACCCTGTAAACACGATTATGACACGATTAACCCGATTAACTAAACGTGTCGTGTTTGTGTCAAAAATGACCTAGCAAAACGTGTAGAATAAATGTCATATTCGTGTCAAAAATGACTTAAATGTGTCTTTTCGTGTCGTGTCAAGTCTTAACCCATTTATTAAACAGGTTATGCGTGTCGTATCGTGTTACACGTATAACAATCGTGTCGTGTTCGTGTCAAGGGTCTTAGACACGATTAATAATCGTGTCGTGTTTGTGTCAACCCTAATCGTGTCCGTGTCGTAATCGTGTCGACACGAACACGACACGCCATCACGAATTGCCACCCCTAGTTGAAAGCTCCAGCCTATTGAGTATCAGCCAATTTCCTCACAAAACAACCTAGATACACTAAACAGTTACACAAAACTGCATCAGAATGAGAACAGACCAAAGGATCTTCATAACAAGTTTAAAGCATTTCTCATAATGTACCTTAGGAAACAACTAGTTTGACATGAACCACCCGATGAAGCAACAAGGGCTTGTAAGGCCAGATTGTCAAATTCATGTGCTTTCTATTTCTCAGACATTTCCAAACTATCTCATTCTCTATAGGTACCCCAATAAATTACAATCTAAGGGACTTGTAAGAGAAATAACAAAAACATCAGAATTTGACATCAATGAATAGAATATAAATCAAGTACAAAGCAGAAATTTAGTGGTACTGTGAGGTGCAATGCTGATGTTTTTGCACTGATAGGAAATATGGCTCAAACTTTTAGCTTGTGCCGACCTCATGGGTTACAAGGCAACATCTAAAACCACTTTGAAATCAAACTGTATTACCATTAACATGAACATGACAAATCGCTATGTGCAGATTCTTACGAAATCTCACAGCAGCTGCTTAGGGAAACAAAACACTATATTGAAGTAGAACTTAATTAAATTAGCAATCTTCCAGTAACATGACTGTAATTTAGTTTATCTATGATTCAAATTAAAGATTAAGAAGACATTGCAGAGTCAGACTTGCACAAACAAAAAATAATAAATCATTCACCTAAAATGCGTCCATGATTAATGAATGATATATTAAAGCTGCACAAATTCTCTAAGTATTTTGTAACAAAGTCGAATAAATACTTGCCAAAAAAATTGAATTAAGATCATGAAAATCAGGGGGAAAAAAAAATAAAAAAATAAAAAAAAATAAATTGTTGATAAAGAACTAATTCGAAAAGGTGGTGGTGTGAGGGTGGAAATGGCGAGCAAGTAAATGAACAGGGATGTGCAAGCCACTCTAGTTAAGAAGTAGATATTCTACAACTGGTATGTTCCACTGTTACCTTCATAATTATGACCGTGTAATTTTGAAGCGTCCAATTTTTCTTGATATAGTTTCAACAACTGAGGAGCTTCCTCATAACACGTCACAAACTTCTTGAGGAACGAACTCTCTGTCGACCACAACAATGTTAGTTCTCTAACAGGTTTCTTAATCAAACCTTTGGACAACAAAACTTGAAGCATTGAACACCTGGGAATTATCCTCTTACCCAAGCTCATTGTCATTAATTCTGAACGACGGGCAATTAGGGAAGACTCCCAACCCATTGTGTTGACATAAAAATTCAGCTTTGCCATTATCATCTCCTCAGATACCGTCATACACCCTGGTGTTCTTCTAAACGCACTCATTGTTTCTTCCTCAGACCAACCCCACTTCTCATAAACCTCCATCTTCCTTTTCCATGTTGATTTGCTCATTGAAATCAATGCCTGAACCGCTAAGACAAACTGGAAGCTTGAAGGGTTGAAACCCATTTTCTTAACATCCTCCACTAACTCATTGAATCTATCATGCTTCATCGCCAATGACCTAGGATGATAAGTAAGTAAGTACAAAATATTCGATTCTGGCACGCCATGTTGTCTCAAAATTTCAATGTTGGGAAATGCACTGTGATCACTTCCTAGAATATCAGGAAACCGCTTAAAGGCCGTGACAAACTTATCATCTGACTGAAATAAATTCTTCAACAAATTGAAAGATGGTATGATTTGGTTCTCCAAGCTTCGTGTCAATACAATTGGGGAAATGGATAATACCTTCGCGAGCTCAGTGCTGGAAATGCCAATGGAGTAAAAGAACTCGAATTTGGGCAAGAGGGTCTTCTTGGGATCCGATAAGAGAAGTTTTGGGCGTACTCTGATGAGAGCTGAGATCTTGGTTTTGCTGAAATCATGGTTCTTGAAGAAGTTGAGAAATGAATCTGGTTTGTCTAGGGTTTTAAAATTGACTTCTTTGGAAGCTGAAATAGCAGTTTCTGGACTTAACCCACATGAATTAACGAGGTAATTGACTGTAAATGAGTGTTGATTAGTGGAAGTTGAGATGGATTTGAGAGATGAAGACAGTGGATGGGTTTGAAGGGCATACAATTTATGGACTGTTGAATGTAAAACACAAGAGCATCTAAAACGAACTAGTGTTTTACAGTATAAATGAATCATTGGAAAAGAAATGTGATAGACACTGTTATGAGGCAACTCACCTGATCGTTAATCTTCTTAGGCGCTCTTGAACCAGCAATACCCACTCCTCTAGGGTTTTTGGCTGAAGCAAAGGTTAAGACGGAAGAAATGCAAATAACAGAACAAACGACGACGGTTGATATATAGTTCTTCCCAACTATAGTTCTTCCCAACCCTTTCCCAAATATATATATATATATATATATATATATATAAGTTAAGTCTAGAAAGCCGAGAGTCAAATTAATTTCAAGAGCGAAAGTATGACAGTAACAAAATTATATCATAAATAACGAGAATTTGAGGGAATACAAAGAGAGCATTCAGAACGTGAGAGCAAGAATTGTGTAACTTAAATTATAAGGTATTTTTTCTTTTTAAAAGTTTAGAATTAGTAAAAATTTAGATTAATACAAGATTAAAATAGAGAACAGTAAATATGTAAAATAATTTCAAAATTTAGGGTCCGTTGAAATTTTGGTGGAATAATAAATTAATAATTATGGATTAAAATGAAAACAAGTTCAGAGCAAAATTAAAGATTTGGGCTGGGCTCTAGCCTCAAAAGCTAATAGGTGATACACTACATATTTGTCTTTACCATAAACATGACAATAATAGTTGGTTAGATTGAAATTAAGTGATACTTAAGTTTCAATACGTAATTTAATTGAAGCATAGAAGGAATAAAAGATTAGGATTTTAAGAGATAAATTAATAATGTATTGCACAAATTTGTGTGAAATATTAAGTTGTTCTCATTAATACAAAAATATATAAAAAAATATATATATAATCAGAATTGAATTTTGAGCATATTATATCATGCATGGATTTGTGTGTGATCCTATTATTAACACTAGTCGAAGTTATTAAAAATAATTTTATTAAATTAAATGTCATAGGAGGGATGACTTGATGAGGATGGCAATTTGGTCAAATCAGATTTTCATTTTAAGTGCAAGCGTTTGCTTCACCAATGTATTATAATTTGACATTTTATCACTTAAAGGCACTCGGAAAATACTAATAATAAAAAATACAAAGGGTGAAATTACATGTTAGAACTAAATTACTGATTCATTTATTTCAATATTTATATTTTATTTTAATTAATTGTTTTAATAAAAAATATAATATAAAGTATATTTAAAAATGACAGTAATTTAAAATTATTAATAAGGCATTACTTTTGCCAAATTATCTTTAAAAATTCAATAAAATTTATCAAAATTCACTAAAAAAAAATACATCTTTATTTGAATTATGTTGTAAAAAGTAGTATATCGGTGTATATTGATCACTATATGCAAGTTTATAATTCGATTACACAACATCGATACAAATTCGATTCCGTTACATCGCGACTGTAAATCGTGGAGTAAACTAGCAAATTAAATATAGTGTCTTTTAACTTGACTTGTACCCTTATGGATAACTTCAAGTTTTTTCCAAATTTCTTTAGCAATTTTGTTTGAAGAGACTGTTGAACTCTTCATCACAAAGTGCACAGTAGCCGGTAGGGATTATAGATGACTCTATTGTTTTAGCTCTTCTAATTTAGGGTAGTAAAAAAAAAAAAAAAAAAACCCTGAACTATTGAGGTTTTGCAACTAATCCCCTTGAACTACAAGAAACCTCCCTTTATTCGATAACAGAACAAACCACAACAGTTGATATACCTAGTATCTTTCTTCCCAACCCTTTCCCAAATATATATTTATATATATATATATATACTTCATTAGACTTAATCACAATTAATAATGTTAATTTTAATAGTCAATTTACTATAATTAGTCAATACTTTTATTCAATCTCTCCTCCTTAATCTCTTCCATCTTTCTTACAATATCAACCAATACCGCCATATTTACACTATCACAACCATCATCTTCACCACTATAGTTATAACACAACTGCTATATTCATTCTCCAAAATCGGACTCCAAGGCAGCCATAGCAGCAGAAACAATCAAACTAGCAGTAGATATCAGACTCAGCAAAGAGGATAAAAAATGAGTCTGATCATATGTTATATGACTTTGAGGAGTTGTTCTTAATTATGTGAATGCACTGTCTTTCAATCAATTTACAAGTTATTTTTTATTTATTTTTTGGTAGGTAAATTTGATTTTTAATTTAGAGAACTAACTATTATTATAATAAATTTTCAATTTACCAGAACACAATGAAAAGAAGTTAATCCTAGATGTCATCACTCATATAGAGTAGCACCAAAACTAGGCCACCCATCAGTAAATCAAAGACGTGAAAAGATTGATTCTTATTTTATTTTATTTTTTTTATTCAGACTTATAAAGATCTTAATTTGTGTATATATATGGGTAATAAAGTATTTTAATATTATTGAAATTTAGCCGTAGTCCGATTTTGGAGAATGAATATTGTAATTGTATTGTGGCTGTAGTGGTGAAAATGGTGGTCATGATGGTGTGGATATAACTGTAGTGGTTGAGATTGCAAAAAAGATGAAAGAGATTAAGGAGGAGAAAAATTGAATAAATGTATTGACTAAATATGGTAAATTGACTATTAAAGTTAACATTATTAATTGACTAATTGAGTTTTGATCTATTGAAAGTTCGTTGTGTTTGAACCGCATGAGAGCCTTCCTGATTATATTATAAGGTGTTTTTTCTTTTTTTGCTTTTTTAAATTTTAGGGTTAGTAAAAATTCAGATTAATACAAGTTTAAAATAGGGGTGCAACTTGGGTTGGGTAACCCAAACCCAATTCGAGATCAGCCCGATTTTTCAGAGGTTTGGGCAATTATTTTTATAATTAGGGTTGGGCTTAGGTTGAAAAATCCCAACCTGAATTTAATTAGGGTTGGGATTTGGTTGAAGTGCTAGCGATCCGAGCCAATCCAAATTCGGATTCTAATATTATTTTCTTATATATTTTTATTTTTAAATACATTATATAATATTTAAACTATGATTACTTTTTTTCTTTTCAATTTCTTTTGTTAAATCCTTAACTTATTATATTTTAACATTTAAGAGAATTAATTTTTTAAAAATTTGTTTGTAATTTATTAAACATCTACAAAAAATCTTTAAACTTTTTCTTGTTTAAGACTAATTTAATCTAAAACTAATTTAAGATCATATTAAATTTTCAGTGTAAAAATTAGTCATATGAGTAATCCGTATTAACCCGAAATCTAAGCCCGAATTTCAAAGTGGAAGGATGGATTGGGTTTGGGTTGAATAGTTAAGATTGAGGATAGGGTTAGGATTGGACTTGGGTTTAACATTTCATTTGATAGGTTGAGCTCAAGTTATACCTCAAATCCGCCCAACCCATCCGAATTACGACCCTAGTTTAAAATATAGAACTATAAATACGTAAAATAACTTCAAAATTTAGGATCCGTTGAAATTTTGGTCTAATAATAATTATGGATTAAAATGAAAACAAGTTTAGAGCAAAATTAATTATTTGGGCTAGGCTGGGCTGGGTTGGGTTGGGCTCGAGCCTCAAAAGCTAGTAGGTGATACACTACATTTTTGTCTTTACCATAAACATAATAATAAGAGTTGGTTGGATTGAAATTAAGTGATTTTCCCTTTGTCCTATATTAGTTGTCAACTATATAAATATATTAAAAGAATATAATTAAAAATAATATCAAATGATTCAAAAATAAAAAGTGGTAGTGAGTTAAAGTTTTTTAAATTGACAATTATTATGGGACGGAAGTAGTACATAAGTTGCAATACGTACTTTAATTGAAGCCTAAGAGGAATAAAAGATTAGGATCTTAAGAGATAAATTAATAATGTATTGCACAATTTTGTGTAAAATGTTAAGTTGTTCTCATTAATACAAAAATATAAAAAATATATATAATCAGAATTGAACTTCGAGCATATTATATCATGCATGGATTTGTGTGTGATCTTACTATTAACACGAGCTGAAGTTATTAAAAATAATCTTTGTATATTTCTAGAATAATAGATTAACACACACACACCAGAAAAGAAAAAAAAAAAATTAGTATTAGTAATTAAGTTGTCTTCAGATAAAGTTTCATCACCATCAATATAATATGTATGTAAACATATAACCATATCAAACAATGAATGCAATATTGCAATACAAATATTATGAAAGCTTGTGTCTTGGGAGTAGATCGAACAGCTAAGCATGTCCACTCCATTTAGATGTTTGTATATAACATGAACAATAAAAAAACTTGTGCTGTACATAACCAATCCAAGATAGACCAATTATAAATCACATCAATCAAATTTTGAGGAGCATTAGAACACAAACACAGAGAAATGAAAAATGAAAGAAAAGAAACTGATATAAAAAAGAACATAGTTTTAAATAGAACATATATAAAGTATAAACATAGTAACAAAAATATAATTATGAAAAAAAAAAAAAGAATTTAATTTAATAAGGAAAATGTAATTTTTTTAAGGAATTTGAAGAGTAAATGAAGAAAAAACTAGAAAATTACGAGAATTTTTAAAACTAATAATTTTAAGGGGTATTATATAGAATATTGGAATAATTTCACTTACATCCCCTCAGGTTTGGCCAAATATCACCTTCAAATATCTTTCGAAAATAACTATCATTCACATTATAAACTTTTGCTCTTACACTCCAAAAATTAGTTAATAGGTGTGTGTCAGGTCACTTTTTACATGTAAAAAGACATTCTTATCATTTGACTTTGGTTTGACCCACTAAATTATTTCTTTAATGATTCAAATGACATGTTTACCCTCATTTGACTTTAGTTTGACTAACTAAATTATTTCTTTAAGTATTCAAATGACATGTTTACCCTTACTTTTCTATTGAAATCAACTAACCTTCTTTAATTATAATTTTTTTAGGAGTAATTCATTTGTAAGTGCTTGCTGATTTGAACTTTATAAATGTGAAAAAAAAAAAAAAAAAAAAAAAAAAATGTAGGTAAATTTGAGGGTAATATTTTGAGAAATATTTTTAACATGTAATTACAAATTTTATTTTTGAATATGTAATTGCCAATTTTTTTTAATCTTTAACACGTATGTTTTCAAGGGCAATATAAAACGAGGAAATTACGCTGTGTAACAATGGGATTTCATGGGAATTGGATTTCAAAA